TATTTATTTATTTATTTATTTACTTTTTATTTTGTTTGTTTGTTATTTCTTACTGTGTTTATGTTATTTATTGTTTTTATTCTTATTCTTGTTAGCTTCATTACTAATAACAACAATATCATTATCGCTGATATTTTTTCAAATCGTTATTTTTGTTACAATTATTGCCATTTTGTGTATGAGTTAGAGGCCTTGTTTGTTTCATTTTTCTATTTGTTTTAAAAAATGCATTTCTTTTTCTTAGACAGAAACACTCTTTCACTACATTAATATTGCAATAATGGATGGGTGACGGACGAACCATAAAAAAGAATAGAGAAACGAAGTAAGGTTGGAGGGAAAGAAGAATAGAGTGAGGGAAAGGAAGACAGAGGAGGAGTGATAATGTACAGGGCTTACAGGTTAGGGCTTATCAGACGAACGTAACACAACAATTGTGATTGCAACAGCGCATCCTACTTTTCTTTTACCACCAGTGACCTTCACTTTAGATGGACATTTGTGTTTGTTCCCTTAATTTTATAAAAGTTAATCATAAATCATCTATTTAGAGAGGCACGAGATATCTATATCTTGGTGCTGTTTTAACTTAAAAGTTCTCTCTTTTTCGTCTTTTCGTTTATTCTTTTTGTTGTTTTTGTGAGTAAGGTTTAGAAATTATTGTTCTCGGGCAAAACGACTTTGCCAACGTAAGTACAGGTGTCTGGCAGTCCAAGAAAAGAACTTGCCCCCCCCCCCTCGAATTTGCTTGTATATATTCAAATCATATGGGCCAGTGATTAATACATGAAGCACATAGTTAGTCCCATTGGTATCATGCTATGATAATATGGCATGGGTGACCAAAGTTCGAAGCCATATCTGAGCATTGTTTAAAGTGGTTTGTTTGAGTAGTCTCCCTCGCTCAGCGCCGACTGGGTTCGGTCATAGCAGAGGACGTTAGTTTGAACAGTACGTTTTGCGTGTTTCATCTTTGCAGTATCAAAATAAGTGCATTCCATACAATGTGATAATACTACGTACAATGAATGATATGGGCCTTTCACACGGACGCATTGGCGCTTCTAATTGATATAGTGACACTATATAGTTTGTCTACTTACATGGTATACAATTTGCCGGAGAAGGAAAATAAATATGCATGCCTATTATTAGGCTATACCGTTTTTCGATTTTTACAAGGTATGTTTCATACAGAAGTAGATTGTTTCCAAAAACATTGCTAGTCTTTAAATAAATCAAATTGAGCCTTCACCTTATTATTGCCAAAATGACTCACTGACGGATTAGTTAAATCATATTAAACGTTTGCGCTTTTACCTTATAACAAAATCAGTAAAACATATTGTTAGGCTTTGCGAAACTCACCAGTGAGGTGTGGTTAACCTAAATCGGATTAATTCCTCAAGCAAAGTCCGCAAGGGTCGGTTGAAGCGCGGCTGCCGAGAGCCAGCAAGTGACCGGTGAAAGCGTGAAGCTGAAGAAATCGAAGAGAGTGGGCTTGGTAGTGACTAGGGCTTGGCTGATCTCCACGCTCATAGAGCAAACCTGTGCCGAGACTGAGGATAGCGGTAGAGGACTGGCACCTTTATACCTGTCGCTGGGTCTCCCAGGAATAAGCCGGTCCGAATATGGCGTTTTTCTCTCAAGAGGGAAAATGGGAAGAAAAGGAGAGTGTGGTAGGTGGTGAGTGGGTGGCTGGGTGATGTTTTGAGGTTTGAGCAGGGAAATGGCGCCCATTGGTGGGTTTTCCTGTGAGACTCTAAGAACCCCTACCCCCTCCTCCTCCCCCTCCCCCACCCTTTTCCAAAACGAAAGGATCAGAGTTCCACTGCCTCGGGGTATGTGCGACAATACTGTGGCCATATTGTTTTCGTGCTGTTGATCATTTTCATGACGAAATGGTTGGAAACGTGCCTACCAAAGTGGGAAAAAACCCTGGTGGCTTTGACATGCCTTTGCATGTTCCTAATTCCGGATATGAATGTTTCAAAATAGGTACATAAATGAATACTGTAAACATTCTCTTAATTATTATTGTGCAGATGCGCACTATTCTCAATATTTTTTATTTTACTGGAGACCGTCATCGTACTAAAGATCACAAAGAAAGCAACTCATCGAGGTACGGTTTTGCAGCTATTGCTGCTAATGTAAAGCCTCATTAAAATCAATCCCTGCTTGTATCAAGCTGTCGCAGTGTCGTGGCACGGAAAAACCTTCTTTAAGTCTACAATAAAGTATTCTTGAAATTGAGATGGGTTTTTTTTATGAGGTTTCGTGGCTCACAACCCTTTTCCTCGTTCATTTTTGTGTGAAGCATGATTATTTTTTTTTATAGTAGAGGGTTTTACGGCGCTCGCTACTGCATAAGGTCATATGAGCGCCAACCCCAAGCATGATCTAAACTGTGTTGATGGGGGCGTAAAACAACTACATTACAAAAACAACAGAGAGGCATCACACCCATGTCCATACAGTACCATGCTTTTTGTAGTCTTTCCTCTCAAGAGCCTAGTGATTTATTTTTACTTCAAACCTTCGCTCTTCGGTTTGGACAATTTATCTGTTCCAACTAAAATTCAAAACTTTGAAAGATAATGTGATTTCTGATCGTTTTTCTGTTTCCATAGAGACGTGGGGTGAGATTCTTAAGATAATTACTCTTAGGAGTGGGAGAGAGAGAGAGGGAGAGAGAGAGAGAGAGAGAGAGAGAGAGAGAGAGAGAGAGAGAGAGTGTGTGTGTGTGTGTGTGTATGTGTGTGTAGGTTGAATAATGAAATTTTGAATAAGGGGGTGGGGGCTTTTCTTTACATAATATCAAACTAATGAGTTTGTCAGGTAGCCTACTTTGACATTGAACACACAGGGGTTATCTACTCTTCAGGTCTGGCCCCTGGGGCAATTTGCTTGTGCCCTGCTCTACACAAAATAGCAGAAGTTAAATATTGTTAAAAAAGGTGTATCAATTCTCGATCTGAGAAACGAAACAAACGCCCGCGATTTCAGTCTCGACCTTTAACAACGCGCCGAAATTATGGTTATATGTGAATGTCGTATCTTGTTTGAAGGAAAAAAAACAACCTGCCAGCGGCGCCCTACACCAGGCCACAGAGTAGATGCGATCTGACAATAGGCCTATAAAAGACAACATTAAATGAAACGGCCAAATGATAATCAAGCTTTATTACTCAACACACAGGAACTAGAGGGAATGAGAGTAGCTGGAGACACGATTACTTTAGGCCAAGAGTCACCAACCTTTTTTCTAAATGGGCTGGACGCTGGATAATTGAGCCGATGCCGGGTAACTAATTTGTTCAAAACAATACATTGATTTATTAGATGAAACATAATTTGTCGCCTCAAAGCCCAGCAAGAATGTGTTACATTAGCTAGAAGTAATGAGGTCTATAAAAGAACGTTAGGTTTCCACCCTTGAGTTCGATGAAATTAAATGATTAAATCAGAGCCCTACAAAAACGTCTACCGCATTTTCTTTTGGGGGTTTTTGGGTGCTTTAAAAAAAAAAATTGTAGTATGGCAGAGGGTCAGGCGAACAGACCTCTGCAGAGTGCGGTCTCATTCTTCCTGTCATGTGGTGTTAATCATTCTCGCTCCCAAACGATAGGTTATCAAGATTATGAAGATTTGAATCATTTGGATCGATATTCCGAAAACGAACTTAGTCCAGTCCGCGATGTAAGCGACGGAGCTGCCGAGGGGAGTTTTTAATATTTTTAATATAACTTTTTAATATAGTTAATTTAATCTATGAAGTATTGCTGGCAAGCGAATACTTTCTGGGTTTTTTCATGGGAAGGGGGGGGGGGGGGTAGTTACATGTTTTTGGACGATAATGTTTCCATATTTTCAAATAACAATTCTTCTTTAGTTTATTGAACGTTGATGTTCATTGGAGTTTTCAATTATTCATGGTACCTGAGCCTACTCTTCGGACCTTTTAACAAACGTCGTGCGAAGAGAGCAGCCAGGCGTCATAAAGAAAGTCATAATTTGTCCCCCGGCATACTCCACTTGTCACTCATCGCTAATGAACAATTCACAAAATAAGAGAGGTGTCACACAGCCAGTTCATATCCCACACGATGTTGGGTATTTGATACAAGCAGCTAAAAATTCCAGTCTCATAAAAAAGGGTACTCGTCATTCGCCATTAACCACTGGCCTCGTCGAGGAGATCATGTGACGTCACCCGTGCCCCGTTCGACCCTCTGATAGTGACGAGTTTATGAGCTTGTTCCTTTTGCTTTGTTTACATCGCAGTTGGACAGTTTGTTAGCATGTCGCTTCCTCAGAATTACAAAAATCTATTTGACATTTTTGGCCGTTTCGAGTTAAATACACAATGGGGTTAAAAATCAAATGTTCTATCTGCTCTATCAAAATTGTAAGATTATTCAGGGTCGTTATCAAGATATTCAAAGAATTGCATTCGAAAAAGCTTGACGTATAGTAAGACTCTAAATTTTGAACGTCAAATTTTTCAAAACTTGATAGGGAGCCGATAGAATTTTGTAATCCTAAGGTAGCGATGTGTCAACTATTGTTGGCCTAAAATTTTGAAACTTTGAAACTATAGCGACTGAAGAAGTACCACAAGATATTGAAAAGTTAGAAACAGACAGCAATACAAGGCATACTATTAATCATTCAGTCAATGAAGATTATTTCATTTATGACGCTTAAATTAAAATCCAAAACATAAAGATCGTACTCTTATTGAGAGTACGAAGCATAAATCGGCTGCACAAATTAAGTTTCAATATATTGAACGCCGTTCATTATTTTCATCGAGTATACCGTCGACGTGACGATTATAGATAAATCACTTTTGTACTGTCCGCCAGCCATTTTGTTTCGAACTGGAATTCGCCAAAGAGGTTTAACCCGTTTTTTATACGTGGGACCTTCCTGTGTGACAAGTAAGTGCTTAAAGCTTGTGATGCATACAACTTTTTTTCGAGGAATAAGCTCGAGTGACGAGTGACCTGAAACAAAGGATTAGCTTGCAGCTCAAGTGACAAGTGACATAAAGAGTGAAAGGTGGCGAGCGACTTTCTCGGTATACCACCTGGCCTACTTTGGATCGAGGGTCAGTTTCACTAGTCTTACTAACCCCAAAATCGTTTCCTTCTCCCCCACCTCCCCCCCCCTCTCTCTCTCTCTCTCTCGTTCTCTCTCTCTTCTCTTCTCGTCTCTCTCTCTCCCTCTCTCTCTCTCTCTCTCTCTCTCTCTCTCTCTCTCTCTCTCTCTCTCTCTCTCTCTCTCTCTCGTTCTCTCTCTCTTCTCTTCTCGTCTCTCTCTCTCTCTCTCATTTGAGAGGGAGAAAGACAAGAATGCATTTTTTGTGTATGCTTTTTTTTCTTAGATAAAGTGCATATATATCCATATTATGTTGGCTCTGTTAAAAGTGGTCAGATATAGAAGAGGAAAAGACAAAGTTTTGACGAAGAGTTACAAAATTCTGAGTCTGCAGAAAGGCGGAATTCGAATTTCTCCATTCAAACAGTCTAATCGCTCTTCTTCGGCATGACCGCGTACCAACAAGCACACGAGGTCATGACATTTGGCTACCCCAAGTATTGTTAGTGGGCTCTTTCTTTTTTCCTTTTTGCCGGGGGTGGGAGGGGGGGGGTTGGGTTGCTTTGTTTATTAGATAGAAAAAGAAGTTCATTGACATTGACCCACTAATGCCGTTGCTGTTACATTGCGTCAGATAGTTCGGAATGGGAGAACACCATGCCATCGAAGCATGGTTTTGTTCTGACGGGGAGAATGTCTTTTTCAGGAGCCGAGCTACCAAATGTAAGTAGGTACGTTATAGCGAACTTACACATTTTTCTCTAATATAACTTTCTATTGATCAAAACTGTACTTGCAGGTTAAGTCTGTGGTAATAATGCAGCAGAAAAAATGGAAGTGGCATTTGCATTACGAGTAAGTTGATTTATTTGTTTGATCTCGCTTGCCTTTCTTTAATTTGGCTTGTGTTGTACTACGTGGTAGGCTTTCTCGTGGTACCCCCCGCCCTTCTTCTTTCAAGATGTGCAAACTCAAGAATTATTTCTTTTTAAAAAGGTTTGTTTTGTCGCACTTACTAATGCTGCTCATTTATTTTTAGAATTCGTTCAATAGGAGCGGGGTTACAGGAAAACTTTGTGATGCTGAAACATTGGATGACAAAGTTGGCTGCAGATAAGGGTGGAATAGAGTCTAGCCTTCCCGTTTACTACGAGTTAACATTTCGAAACTCCAAAACGATAAAAGGTGAATTTGTCCTACAAAATGCACCTCATCACTAGCGTCACTCCACAATTGCTCAAATCAATTTTTTTAAATTATTTTTTGGGGTTTTTTTTTTTTTGGGGGGGGGGTTCCAGATTAAAAACGGTTATTCCATTAAAGACACCAAGGGGCATATTACAATAGTATAGCTCCGTTCTGTTTTGTAATTTCCTTCCAACTTTTTCAATGAAAATAACGCGTTCCTAAGTCATGGTTCTCTTTGGCGCTCTATTTT